CTCCCCCTTCTTCCCTTGCCCGCCCCGCCCTCTTCCTACCCGCGCGCGCCGGTCTGTATTTGGACGCCGAGGCTCCGAACAGCTGACGCCGTGGCACGTCATGGACTACGTCACGGCGTGCGCATCACGCGCCACACCCCGCCCCTCCACGGTGAAGTTCAAAGACACGCGGTAAACGCGCGTGGCAGAGCACAACCGGCGGGTCGAGAAAAATTTGGTCATGGTTCTTCACATTTTTTAAAAGTTAAGTCTTTTTAAAAGCTAGTATTTAAGTCATTTCTCTTTTCCGTTGTGACTTTTAATGTAACATAAAGAAAACTTAAAGGAATTAGTACAGTTAAAAAGCGTCACAGATAATAAAGCATTCAAATTTAGCAACCGTGAGGCACTTCAGTGTGCCTAAAGCAAGACGGCACTTATATTTAAAACGCCTATGAGCAAGTCTCCTACATTTGTCTTAATTAGGTGTAAATAAAAACATTCATTTTTAGGGTTCCTCAGTCGTGCCACCCGTTCTTTTAGGCAGGTGACCGACAGCGCGTCTCAGATGGCGTAGATCCCGGATTTACATTGGAAAAAACAGAGGTTCTACTAGCACCCTTCTTTAGGGCGCTAGACTGCATGTGTAGGAGCGCCATGCACTGCTGCTGCCACTAGTGCGTTACGTTAGTGATGGAACTGAAGGTGCCACAAATAAATGCACTTGCGGTGGGCCATTGTGCACTTTATTAGATGCCACCTTTGTTATTTCAATGTAAAAGGGGGGTTCCATCCCAGTCGGGGTGCACAACACGTAGTAAACGCCAAGATTCTCCAATCCGCTCCAACCTTAAGTAGACGTTACTCATCGCGGGTAGACGCGGGCCACCATGTAAAGCCGTAAAAGGCTTGGAGTCCAGGTACTACAAACAATCCCAAAGTTTAACCGGCTGCCGCGCTGACTGTTTATCCGCGAGATCCTCGGAAGCCTCTCCCGAGCGCGCGGGTGCGCGTGCGCCCGTGTTTACCACGTTTACGAAAATGGTCGATCCCGCGCGCGCCCGGCCGTGACGTAGGTCAGCGGCATTCGGGGAAGGACCGTAAAGACAGGCTGCACACACAGCCGGCCACCATGACCTAACGTTACAGCCCGAGTGTGTGGTGTGTAGCCGGCCCGGCTGTGGGCCCGGCTGTGCGGGGGCGTGCGGGGGCGGGGAGCAACTAGTAGCTTCTATTTCAGCAGAGAGGGCATGAACCGACTGCGGCCTCAGCATCCCCCGCACGGTCGAACACGCAGAGGGAGAGGGAAAAGGAGAGGGAGGGAGAGAGAGAGAGAGAGGGGGGGAGAGAGAGAGAGAGAGAGAGATAGAGAGAGAGAGAGAGAGAGAGAGAGAGGGGGGGGAACCGCCCCTGTAAGCAGACAGACGACATGACCTCGGGACCGCCAACCAAACCCATCAGGAACTGCGAGGCGCTTTGAGACGCGAAGACATGCAGACAGACAGACAGACAGACAGACAGACAGACAGACAGACAGACAGACAGACAGAGGCACCTGGCAGGCAGACGGACGGCGCCGCTATCACTTATCATCTCCTGGGAGTGGCTTGCTGGAAGCCCGCGGCCAATGAGGTACGGCCGCGAAGCGCCGCGCGGCGCCACGCCGCTACCGCAGCCCGGCGAAGCGGGAAGGGGAGACCTGCGCCGCTGACGATAGAGAGCGTGATCCGAGCGCCGCCGGGCACGCGGGGCGCAGCGGGGCCGAGAGGGAGCGGCGGGATGTGAGAGAGGGATCGATCCCACTGTCCGGGCGTCCTGTCGACCTAGCCTTCAGGCCGGCGGCGGGACGCCCGCTCCGCCCCGCCTATATAGAGACCTCCGATATAACACGTTCCGTGCCCACCTCGAATTAGTGCGACATAACCCGCTCCAAACAGGACCTCTAGGAGGCACAACACATCGAGCCGGCCGTCGTCGCGTCAGGGACCTGCCCTGCCCCGCCCCGCCCCGTCTAGGTCCCATCAAAGTGTCACCAAAGTGGCCAATGCACATCGCACGGCGGCGTCCTGGCGGACAACACGGCCCCGCCGACAGCCCTAACAAGCGACACTCTCGCTCCACCGCGCGGACCGAAATAAAAACCCATCCCCGTGTTATAGTGGGCCCTTTAAAACGCCCTCGCGACATCACCGCGGCAACAAATCATGTCGTGTCTTTGAAATGATGCAACAAATTACAAAATCAACAAGGTACGACACGCACGCGACGCACGCGCTACAAGATCCGCGACATGCGCGTAAAATGTGTCGCTTCTTGCTTTGGCGGTCGGGATCGTGACGTGGACACTCACACTCGCACCAATTTGCCTCCTTAACAGGGCGTCGTCGGGCCCGGGGCCGGGCCTGGGGCCGGGCCTGGGGCCGTATAAGGGGCTCTATGTCGCCTCTGGATGACGTCGCGCCGGGCCACACCTGCCGCCCGGGCGCGAGGACGGCACAAGGCGGTCGTGCGTCGCTCCAGCGACAAGTAGTCACGTCCAGCCGCAGCCGAGCTGCTGTATCCGGGCGAAAACGCCTGCAGGGTAGGCAACGCGTCCACAGCGCGCGCACAGGTGTGGGCGGGTTGCCTACCGCCGCACCCCTGCCGAAAGAGGCGCCTGGCCTGGTCAGTAGGCAACGCGCCCGTAGCTCGCGCACCGGTGCAGGAGGGTGGCCTACCTGGCCCCTGGTAATCGGCACGAGGGAGCGCCCGGGCGGTAGGCAACGCGTGCACACCCGGCGCACGCGCGTGGACGGGTTGCCTACCTCGCCCTCCGCAGGCGTTCCGGCCGGCGCCCGCTGGGGTGTATGGATGGGGAAGCGAGCTGAGGAGGGGCTGGGGCGGACGGGAGGAGGGGCTGGGGCGGACGGGAGGCGGGCTGGGGAGGCTCGGGACCAGGGGCGGATGAGACGAGATAACGGGCGATGGGTCCCGGGTGGCCCCGCCGCGGCCCCTCGCCCACCCACCGGAGAGCCATGTCACCAGTTCAAATACTCGCCGCTATTTTCTTAGGTGCACGGCGCGCGCCGGCCGGCCGGCTGGTCCAGCAGCAGCAGCAGCATCAGGGCGCGCGCGTGCCGACCCGAGCCCAGCCGAACGGTCCCCGAAGCCGTTCCCGAAGTCTATATGCAGTGCATTACGTCATTTTGACGTCACTGTTGGCCGGGCGCGCGGCGGCGGCGGGGTGGGACCGCGGCCAGAGTGGGGGCCCGCGCGTGCGCGGAGGGGCAGAGCCAGGCAGAGGCAGGCAGAGCCGGTCCTGGCGGGGCCCCGGCGGAGCTGTAGCGGAGCCCCCACGCCGGCACCAGCACGCGCCCCCATTGGTGGCGCCCCCTCCACCGCCGCGTCCCCCCAAATATGGGACAGATGCTCCATTCATAAAACTAAACGGGGGAGGGGAGGAGGGAGAGAGCTCGTTCTCGCTCGCGGTCCGCTCGGCCGCCGCTGCCGCCGCGCCTCCGCGCCAGTCTCCGTCAGACCGCCCCGCGCAGCGCTGCTCCCGGAGCATACCAGGCACAGCCGCCGCCTGCAGCCCGCGCACCGCGCAGCGCACCGCTTGTTGTGACAGCCCGGCCCACGCAGCCGGCTGCCCGGCCGCGCACACGGGGGCGTCCACGCTCCGGGGAGCCCCCTCTGGGCGGCCCCTCTCCAGGCCACAGCCCCTGCGCCTCGTCGCTGAGTGCTCGCTTGGTGCCGCAGGTGGTGCCGCCGGCGCCGGCTCTTCGCCCACCATGACCATGGACGGGCTGGACACGCTGCCCGCCCACGGCGGGCCCCAGGGCCACCCGGGCGGACTCATGTACCCGCACTCGTCCACCGCCTTCCTGCTCACCGAGTCGGCCGCCGCCGCCCAGCACCACTTCAACGTGCTGAGCTTCGACGCGTGCCTGCTCAAGAACCCCATCGGCCAGGACCCGGGCTCGAGTCCAGTGCCGGGCGCGCAGGCCGCGCCGGACGCCTTCGGCCAGGAGGCGGCCGCGCCCGACGTGCAGCCCGGCGACCTCAACACCCCCGTCACCACCTCGGGCGACATCCCATCCTTCTTCCCCAACAATGTGGTGGAGCCGCCAGCCATCTCCGGTGAGTAGTGTGACGTTTAGTGTGGAGTGACAGTGTGGGTGCTTGAGAGTTAGACGGAGTGAGCGACCGCGCCAGTGAGTGACAGTGCAAGTACGATCGTGTGTGCGAGAGAATGCCGAAGCGAATGATTTGAAGTTCGAGTAAGTGCGGTTGAGTAAGTGCGGTTTAGTGAGTGAGTGTGTGTGTGTGTGAGTGAGTGCGTGATGGGTGGTTGGGCATATACGAACGTGCGTGGGTCTCTGGAGTGCGACACCTACCCCCGGCGCCCGGGACCGCCCAAACCCTTGCCATACGCAACACCCTAGCCCTTCGGGTCCTTCGGGTGCCGCAGCCCCCTCCACAGGTTGCTCGTAGGGTGCTCATGAATGGGCGCTGGCGGGCGGGGC